AATATGAGCGCTTATTTGTCTGAAATTTTGAATAATCATCAATTCCGAAATTTTATTTTATTCACCAATGAAATAGTTGAATGAAATTTTGTTAAAAATTCATATGTTTCAACAAAATTAGCTAAGTCAGAATTAGTAAATTCGAGAACAGCACTTTTAATAATTGAATATCGTTTTTGAAATATTTAAAAAAAAATCATCTTAAACTATAGATTTGCCAGAATTTTTATAAAAATTTTTATTAGAAATTCATTAAGATTTTTTTTTTTAAATTAAGGCCAATTTTCGAAATTTTAACATAATTCGATCAAATATTTTGAATAGTTTTTTTCTAGTTTAATCGAAACATTTAAGAATAGTCCGAATAACATGAAATTTTATTGATTTATTTTAAGTGCAGTATGTATATGAGAAATTCAAATATTGCAGACGCTCGACATGTTAAATTGATTTAGTCAGTTTTCACTTATAACCACAAATGTAAATTTTGAATTAAAAAAAAAAAATTTTGACTCAGTTGTATTTTTTATTGAAATAAGGTGAGAACACTATCACATTATTATGTACCAAATTTATATTACAGTTACATAAGTATAAGAAAGTGAATGTGTGATCTCGTGTTGCTTATTATATATAATTTAAAATATGTACAAATTTACAAGAACACAAATAAATGTGTATATACCCATACAATATACAAATATATGCATATTATGTTTGTCATCTGGTCAAAATTACAAAAGATGGTATACATATTGCATATTTCCTTCTCTTATTATTATTAATTTGATAATAATTGCAGACAGATGTTCAAATAAATCTCTGTATATTATTTATTGAAAATTTTTAAAATTTACAAATTATATTGAAAATTATCTTTCATTTAATGAATGAACCTTAGGTGGTATAAATTCTATTATGTGGTTTTAAGAAAAACAAATTTAGAAAGTCAAAAAAAAATGTAAACTTGTGGATGTATTTGGAATTAAATTAGTTCAAAATTTAAATTTTATAAGTCAATAAATTCGGAATTTTGACAGATTACCAAATAAATGTTTAGGAAATTCAAATTTATAATAAAATTAAAATTTCTAAATTTCGAAATAAGCAGTTTTTGTTTGTAAACACGGAATAATAGATTTTTAAAGACACTTAAATTTTAAAATTTAGAATTTGGTTTAGTGCAATTTTTGGCAGATTATGAAAAGTAATTTTTGAAAAAAGACTAAAGATCGAATTTCCATATTATTTTTCGTATACATTTGATGAACTGTGACTTTGACAGTATAACCAAAGAATGTATATTTATAAAGAATCGCAAAAGTCTAAAAAGAACATTTTTTTTCATCTCTACTTTGTGACAACGATTAGCTATTCACCTCAACATAATGTAGTGTGTTGAATTATTTTTATTTTAACTGAAATTCTCATTTATATATGTATGCTGGTGAATACACAATCATGTAAACTTTAATAATTCCATAATGTGTATAAAATAATGCTTTGCTAAAAATTAGTTGTTCTTGTACATCTAAAGCTATGCAATTTCTTTATGGGTGAATAATTCTATATATGTGTGCATATGTTTATTTACTTAGAATTGAAACGAAGTTCAAAAGAAATGTTCACTTTTTTGTTGAAACTCAATGTTGATCAGGTGCATTTTTTGATAAATTTTTATGAAATATATTAATCTATTTTGAATTTTTTAATCTATTGAATTGTTGAATTTATTAATCTATTTGAAATAAATTTGGTGCTTAATACTCATATATTCGTAATTTTTTAATATAATTCAAACTTATTTCTAACATTTTTAATTTTTTGAAACTATAAATTAAGTGTGATTGAACTATTTATAAAATATACAGATATAGTGCTTTATTTAAGTTTTCTTTACTTTCTTAATTAAGCTAATTTTTCTAATTTAATATAAATCTAGTGTATATCTTATATAATATTTCTAAGTCTTTTCAATTTCTAAAACTATTAAACTTATTTAAACTACTTAAAATAAGAGATTAGATATAGTGCTTTAAATATAATTTTTCTATATCTTTGCAACTTCTTAAATCAATATAATATTCTAAAAATTCGCTAACATAAATATACAAAATGGATAAAAATAAGATTTCAATTAGAGATAGTAGTACCTGTGCTAGTGAAATTTCGAAAACAAATCCGATCAAATATTCTTAAAAATTCCGAGCGATAAGTTTTTCGAAATATGTAACCAAAATTTTAATGTATTTAAACATATTTTTGACAATTTTTGGCACAATGTAAATTTAAAAAAACAAATAGTGGAAGCATGTGTCTCAAAAACAAACGAATTATATCCCGACTGGTTTGATCCAGAAAATGAATGTTATGATCATCGAAAAACTATATTAGATTTCCTTGTTCTCGTTTTATTGCGAAAAAATTGCTCCTGGTTAGCGAAAAATTTCACAGAGCCATTCAATAGAACATCTTCTTCACATCATCGACTACTAATTTTGCAGCAATAAAGATCATTCAATTAATACTTCGATAGTTTTATACCATAGAAAACTTTACTACTATTAAAGTCTCATCAAACATCATGAATATTAAATTTATCTGACTTAAATAACTGAAATTTCTTTTATACTAAAAATCTTCTCTTCTAAAATACTTTAGAAGAATTTTCAGATCAAAAAGGAAATTATATTTTGTTAATGCTTATTAAATATGTATGTATATATGTATGTACATATGTATGCATGTGCGTACCTAAAAAAAAATAAAAATTCTTGAAAAATAAATATGAACAATTATTATTACTTTAAATAATATAAAAAACTATTTAAATTAACTCATGTAACCAAAATCAATTTTTAATTTTGCAAAAAAGTACCATTATTTTTGTTATTCAAGCCATACATATTACCTACTTTTGTTTTTAAATATCATATTGGATCAAGAAAAAGAACTTAAAAAATTTTCAAATACATATGTAAATAGTTTTCTACTAATTGGTAAATTATTATTGAACACACATATTGAATTTGAATACAAAAAAAGTGTGTGTTGATTTAATATTGAAGAATTATGATGCAGTTCGTATGTGTTTGTAAGTATATATTTGCGATATATTAATATTTTATTTATTGTCAATTCTTAATTTTATTCTTAATTCTGAATTCATTTGAACGTATATGTTCACAACAGTAATAATAAAATTCATATATGGTATACATACGAGTATACATATGTACGAGTATGTATGCATATTATTAGATCATTCAACAAACACTTTGTTAAACCGAACAACACCATATTACACATAACAAAATTTGTTATTGCTTTTTCACATTTCTTATTCCAAAACAAATTTTTTTTCTTTTTAAGCTCAAACACACCACATTATGTTGAGGTGAATAGCTAATCGTTGTCACAAAGTAGAGATGAAAAAAAATGTTCTTTTTAGACTTTTGCGATTCTTTATAAATATACATTCTTTGGTATAACATTATTTTATTTAACTATAAAACGAAAGAAGTTTTTTAAATTTTTACTTTTGAAACTGGTACTAATCTTAAATTCTTAAATATAAATTTACATGCACGTATGCATGTATTTAGAGTATATAATTGTCAGTCAATTTATATTTGCATCATAATTTTCTATACCTATAGATTATTTACAAATTGTCATCTTTAAACTACTCATCTCATTATTTATAAATATTTGAATGAGTAAGCTGGTTAAATCTAATCTCAATTCTCTTTAAGCTTTTTCGCTTTTAAAATCTTGTATTACTAGTTTGACAAATATTGCCAATAATTATGGATTTTAAATATTTAAATGTAGTATATGCACTGCATTAATGAATTTTATAAAATATCTAAAGCTCATACAGTAAAATTTGACAAAAAAAAAAAAAAAATATTATCAAAATTTAATAAAATTTTAGAGTTGAATGGGCTTTTATTTGGTAAATTTGGATCTTATCAAAATTCTTATATTAAAAGTGTGGAATCAATAAAGATAGAGATTATTTTTTTTTATTTAAAAATAAAAATAGAATTAGCAACACGACAATTTTTCTAGTAATATCAGTGGTAATTGATTATTAAAAATAAATCAATGTACATATGTTAGTATGTTTGTTTTTTTTGCATATGAAATATTGATAAAGTTTGAATTTTTGGCACATTATTAAGTGTCACCAATTTATTTGTGTGTTACCGTCAATTTACATAAACGCTTTAAAAGAATATTTATTATATTAAAGGAGAACAGTTGTTACGAAAATCTCTTCCGGTAGATGACTTTAAATTTTTATATTCGAGACAAATGTCAAACTGTTATGGCACCTATTTAAATTTACAGATAATTTTTCGCTTCCTAATTGAGTTTAGAATGTAGTCTCCTTGAGGTATTTATATTTGCAGGTAATTTTTACTTCTTGGGTTAATACACTTTAGAATGTACCTTAAAAGTACAGTACTTATAATGATTTCGAACGAAAAAATTGAATTTTATTAAATATTGAAAAACTATTTTATACATATAACAGTTTTGAGTTTAATTTCTCTTAGTTTTCACTTTCTAAATTTTATTTTTCATACAATAGCTGAAAATAAATACACACTTAATTTTATCTAAATGAAAATCTCTTAAAATATAAGGTTTTTGTGTTAACAAACTTTTCTCTTGTAACAACAGAATAGATATTTTTTATACGCAGAATGCCGGTAACAAATATTCATAATTTGCACATAATATGTACAAACACATATATGTATATAATATTATGTTTTAATATAATTACATCATAACGTTACCATTTTCTGTTCAAAGAGTATTTTGAATAACCCACTTATACTATGTGAACACAATCAAACTACACATAGTCATATACAATACATATACGACTACCTTATAAAGAAACCTCATAAAGAAACCTTTTAATATAATAATATTTTTTTTTGTGTTTTTTAGATCACACAAATAGTATGACTTTGCAACTATCATCGTGCGGTTTAATAATTTTTTGTCAAATAAATGAAAATTTTTCAAAAGTGTATACTAGACAATGAATATTTAGAAAAATTAATAATACTTATTTTTGAATTAATTTAAAATAAAGAAAAACTAGTTTATAATTATTAAAAAAAAAAAAACAAAAGCTTAAAAAATTAAAAAAAAAAAATTACATTCCTTCGAGCCGGATTTGAACCAGCGACCTATGGATTTCTGCCCACTTTACTGAACATATTTTGAATTTGTTCAATTATTATTCACCTACAGTCCACCGCTCTACCAACTGAGCTATCGAAGGTTCATGTGATTATAATAATAAAATTAAGTTTTTTTTTTCGAGATTACAAAAACTTAAAAGCTTTTATTTAATTATAGAAACATATACACTCTTACATTTATATAACAGGTATATATTCAGTAATATAATTTTGTATTGACTTAAAAATAAAAGCAAGTAATTTTCTAATATTACAGAAATATTTTACAAAAAAAAAAATAGACAATAAATATAATAACAAAGCAGAGTATCATAGGTAAACAGAAATCGGAATATAAATTATACATACAGACACATGTACATAATATTTGACATATAATTGATATATGTACATATACACACAATTCTGATATATACATAGATTTTCAATGATCGTTGAAAATTAAAGAGCTTTTAAAAACATGATATTTTCACTTTTTATTACATTTTATTTTAAAATAAAATAAGAGAATTGAAACAATTTGAATTTAAAATACATAGTTTAAAATTTACTATTAAGCAGTATTGCCAGTTGAAACAAAAAAAAATCTTAATATTTTTGATGAAAATTTTTATCAATTAAGTTCTAAGATTTTAGTATTTCAAATGTATTCTCAAATTATTTTATTTTGACGAGTATATTTCACATTCAAATTCATATTCGAAAAAATTCGTCAGAATTGAAATAAATCACTCTTCCTGCAGTGAACGTGCAGTGACCCTCTCTGCTGTGACTCTCCGAAAAACCTTTCTCTCTTAACTATAGCTACATACATATCTAGTTTAATTATAGTCGCACCATAATTTTTCATAATATTTTTAAATTTATCTCTAAATTAACTATTTAAAATTAATTTCTTTTTGAAATTTTTTCAAAAACCATTTTGACAGTGACAAATTATTTAAAAACTAAAAAAAAAAAGCCTAATAATCTGGTATTGCTGCTTATTCAGCATAGCTGATAGCACCTTTATAAACAAAATTCAATTAAATAATAAAGAGACAAAATGAATAATTCTCATAAAAAAAAACAAATAATTGAATTATTGAGCGAAAAAAGAGATTTGTGTCAGTGTCGATTTTATACTGAAACATGTTGTAAATAAGCTTTATATGCTATTTATATTCTGTTATTATGTGACGATACAATAATGATAAGCTTTTTAAGCACACATGAAAATATTGTGATTTGTTTACAATCATAAAAGTTGCTTTGCTCTGTTGAAATTTTCACATGCTTGTAACTAAACACAAATTAAGCAAAAGAAAATGTATTAAAGAAAAAAAAAACATTATAAACAAAAAGTTTAATTGATATTAAAATTTTAACAATATAGCAATACTGAAAATCGTATGTATGTGTAGAACAACAATAATATACAAGAATTAATGTGTATTTATAAAACAATAAAATAAAAATTAACTAATACTAAGTTTTCATTTAACTATTATCACTATAGTTTATTAACTATAGTGATAGCCAACTGAACAAATAATAACACTACATATAACAATTAAAATGAGAGAAAAGTGAGCATGGGAAATGTTTCAAATTTAGAAATTCTTCTTTTTAATATTCAAGATTATTTTATAAAAAATTCATTGGAATTTATTAAAAAATTGTGTATTATTTCTCTGATTAGGTCTGATATAGTAGGTCTAATTTAACGAAAAGTGAAAATGTTTTAGATTTTAGACTTATTCAGAAAACGTATTTGTAGTGTAGTATTATTGTAGCAGTATTATGCCTTACTTACTCGCAATTCGCTGGAAAAAATTTATTATAATTTTCTTAAATGTTCCAAAAAAAAATTCAAGACTCTAATGGACCCGATGTTCAATTAGACAAAAAATAGACTCAATGTTCCATTATTGAAGTTTAATTATGTATGTTTAATTTTGCATATAAAACCAATTTTCCATTTACATAATATTTTATAAGAACTGTTTGTGCGATAAACTGTGATTACAGTTCAAAAGGAGTCAACGCAAACGTTTAAATTACTGTGTGCCTTATAAAATAATTCAAGTAATTGCAAGTAATTTCAAAATGTTTTGTGGTTAATTATTGAGAAAATTCCAAAAATTAAAATATTTTTTGCTTAATTATTAAATAAATATAATAATTAATAGAATTTTGTAAATTATCATGTCTTATTCCTTTAACTAAGTGTTTATAATGAATATTGAAAAAAAAATTTCATTAAATTTTCTTTGAATACATTCATCACCTTGATCTACTAACGGAAGTAGTTTACAAGTACATACATATATAAAAATATGTACATATGTAAATTATGTGTTAAAAAATAGTTTTGTAGGTTAATTATTGTTATGAATTTTTACACCACTTTTGTATTTTTGTTGTCTGCCTTCCTTGAAAATATTTCAAGCCTCTTTCTTATTTAATTTTCCTGATGTTATAAATGTATGTATATGTATATAATATTAATAAAAGGATATTTTCACGTTTACATTATGTGTGTTTCTTGTAATGTGTACTACATTAACACACAATTCATTGTACACAATACATTTTTTATACAATATATTTAAGTTGGCTGTAGAATGTATTTCCTAGAACAAAGTATGTCCTAGATTCATAATAACACAAAACAAAATGAAATATAAATCTAAAATAAGAAAGTTGTAGGTAATCTTTTTTTCCTTTCTTGTTAGAATGATTTATTTTTGTTGAAAATAATTAAAAAATTAAAACAATATTAATATAGAAAACAAATGTAAAAGGAAAATTAGAGCATGTAATAAAAATATCTACTGCAAAATACGAAATAATTTTCATGTATAGAGAGAAAGTTTTTGGAAAGGAATTGAATTCAGGACAGGATGTTTTAATATTACATATTTGTACTTTAAGGATGTTCAGATAACGCAATATAAATGGCAGAGCTCATCAAAACGGTGAAATCAAGAAATAACATAAATGAAAAATTACAAAAATCAATTCATTTTAAAATGTGTTACAGGTCATATGGAGTACATATTATTACCATGTTATTATAAAAGTATAACCTTAACATATTCTTAATTACCATTTTTCACACACTTATCACTGTTTTTCACATTTGGCTGAGTAGAATTGTACTCACTCGGAGAGTAACATGAGAGAGTTATTCTCTGACATTTACTTATGCACACATCTAGTTAAACTCTACATGCAATACAGAATTCAGATACGAAAAACTCGTATTTGCACTATGTAAAATTTTTGCAAGTGTAGAAAATTATTCCTTTTTCTAATATAATTACTTAATAATATAATTATTAAGTAAATAATAAGTAAATGACGATTATAGCATGCTTAAACTCCTGCCGTTTGGTTTATTGAAAAAATATTAAATTCTTTAATTTATGCTCATACTAAACACTCATACTGATTATGATTGAGTTTATAAAGTACATTATTAATCCTTCTTATTAATTAAAAATTAATATCCAAAATTAAAATATAAATACTAGGCAATTCAATTTATTCATATTATAGATTATACAAAATTTATTTTTAAAACAATGACATTAAATTTAATTATTTTGAATTATAGGTTTTGCAAATCAAATGTTTCATATACTCATTAAAGGTAATATTTTAGAATAAAACATTGTTATAATTTTAATTTTGACATTGAATTCTAGTTACTTATTTAATTATTAATTTATATATGTATGTAGAATATAAACCTGAGAATATTAACATAAGTTCTACCAATTAATTTGTATATGAAATATAGAAAAAAAAATTTAAATTTATTCAATCCTATTGTAGGATATCAAAAATATTATAAAAATCAGAATAACAATAATCAGTAATATTAGTAAAGTATTTTAAATTTGTAAGAGTTGTGCCTGGTGTAGATATAAATTGTATAATTTTAGTTTTGTATTCGGGAGATTTTTTAAGAGTTGTATGAAAGAGGTAATCTTAGGCAGGTTTAATTAAAAATATATCAACATTTCTAATTGCAGGTTATCTCCGTTAAGCAGGAAGTGAAAAAACTCATTCTATTTTTCAATTTTCTTTCTTAAATGTTTTGTGAATATTTTGGTGAATTTCAGAATATTTTTATCTATTCTGCAACACTCGTTTAAGTAAATAATTAGAAATATTAAATTATTTATAATTTATTTTAAATACCAAAAGGTTAAATTATATTTCGAAATAAAATATTATATAATATGTGGGTTTCAAGATTTGAAAAATCAATTTAATAAAAATATGGTACCAAGGTTTAATTTCCATGTACTCATTAATTTTTAAATACTTTATTTTTAAATTTTTTTAAAAGAATACGTGGTAAATTTTTATATATCAAGTCTTTTAAACTGAATAAAATTAAAAAACATGACGAAATAAAAACAAATTCCATGTATACTTAGTTAGAGTGAAATTTGTCATATACGTTATATGTGCATAAGAGAGGGCAATAGGTGATAGGGCAAAGGACACAACGTATAGTATTTTATTCAAAATAATAAAAAAGGATATCTTAATCAATAAAACGTTTTTGTTCAAAAAGAAAAAAAAAAAACAACAAAAATTTTTTACGTCTATAATTTTTCTTTTTTTCTACATAGTCACATGAAGGTTATTTTATAGTACTTACAATTGTTTTTTCTTTTCATTTTCAAGGTTAAACATTATGTAAAATTTAATACTTGTATTCAAAAAAAAGGAGCCGAATTAAAGAATTATGTATAACTACACTAAATACAAAAATCGATTTATTTCCACAATAATCGATTTTTTTTCAAATTTAATGTCATCTTTTATAGTTAAATTTAAGGAAATCGAAATTATTTGATAATTTCATAGCATAATTATATTACAAGTTAAATAATAAATATTTACGTTAACTGCTTTTTAATGATAGTTGGTAACGATAACAAATTCTGATATTATATACATAATATGAAGACTTACATAATTGCATTTATATGTTAAAACTCTATTGAGGTTAACAGACTCCTCCATCGCTTTTATACTTAAGATTTTGGAAACGATTTGCAAAAATTCTATACAATAATAAAATAAATGTTATGAATATGAAAGAGTGAAGCTTTTCCATCGATTGTGATTTTTATTTTCTGTTATTTTTTATGTATTACGCAGAGAGTTTTCAAAATAATTTAGGAATCTTGGATTGTTTTTGTAATTTCGAAATGTTGAGTAAATAGAGAGCAATGTTCTATTATTTATTATTAAAGTTTCGTTTGAACAATTAAGGCTATGTCATTTTCGCAATCGATTAACCAGTAATTTTAATAATCTATTTTAATAATCTCTTTTGAAGTTTTAATCAATTTGAATGTAAATGACAATATTTTTAATTGCTTCAACTTTCAAAATGAACCAATAATTTTGCATATGTTATAATGTGTGCTAATGTATGTAATAATATCATAATTTTTAATTTATTTGTTATTATAAAAAATATGCTTTTAAATTAAAAATTTAAGAAATTTTCGAATTAATTTAAAAAAAAAAAGTTTTTCTAATTTTTTCTCATCTCTCCATTTTTCTCAACTCTCTTCAAAAATTATTTTTCATGAATAAAATACTAACATGTAAGCTATAAGCGTAGCAGTAACACTATCATTTCAATCTTTCTCTCGCTCTCTTAATTTTGAGCTTTCCTTTCCTCTACTAATAATTTTTTAATTATCATGCGTAAATATTTAACTTTTTCTTTGAACTCTTATCTCAGTGGTGAATATTAATTAAGCACTGGAAGGTATTTTTAATTTTGAAAAATTGTTTTTGTTTTTGTTTAAATTTACTTTTAACACGAACCTGGAAGTAAAATACAATATCATTACTAATTTATCCACCAAAATTTTTATTTGATTATGATTTTCTAATTGTTGTAATAATTAATTGGTAAAATAATTTTCACTATTGTGGTTTTCATTCATACCATTTCTTTTTTTGATAACAATCGATTGATTGATTAATATTGTACAAACTAAATTTATTCATAAAAAAAAACAATTAAAATGAAAATAAATATTTATAAATAAAATAAGAAAAAAATACGAAAAATTCCAAAAATAAAAAATTTCATGTAATATACATACACACATACTATATTTATATAACAGTACTTAACAATATATTTTTGGATATTTGTGTGTGTATGTCTGAATTTATAAAATATTTAGTAGCCTAATTTTCTAAAATTAATTTCTTCAATACTATCATAGTTTTGTTGTTTGTTAATTTTTTTTCGATTTTTTTTTCCGTAAACAAATCATTATTTACTGCATTAATTTATCACTGTTTGTGCAATAATGAAATAAAAGAAAAACAACAACAACAACAATTATACATATAGAGTTAAAATCAAATAAAATATTTTAGCGAAAAATATTGAAATTATTGTGGAATTTCTTTTCATATAAAAATGATTTTCTTCCGGTTTGAAAATTCTAATTTCTCGTACATACCTTACAAAATTATTGTAGTTTTATATATACACATGTATGTAGAAATGTTATGGCACATAAAATTTGTAATGAAAAATAAATTGTTCATTTGTTAATTGTAAAAAAAAATTGAGTTCTACAATGCAATAGAGTAAAAAATTTAAGTTCTATTCAGAAATTTACGGTTAAGATTAACTTGTTTCTATAGGCTGAATTAGATTTTATAATCGTATTAAGTACTGATCTATGTTGCATCCACAAACATTTGATTGTAATTGACACAACATTGTATTTTTGATTTCTGATGACTTATGAATAAAATGGCAAAAGTTTTGTACAAACGATTTAAAATTTTTTTTTGAAGTCCTATCTATAATCCTATGAATTTTGAATGATCCTATTATTATTTTCATAAGTCTACTATTATTTTTGTTAGTTTGTTCGAAGAAGCCTAGTTGTTATGGTGCTATTTTAGAATTCATCGCAGTTTACTGGTAAAATTTGAAAGAAATTGAATTTAATCGACTTGAAATTAAATTTATTCATTGAATTCGATTTTAATATGACCGTAAAATTGAACTCCTTATTATTTTCGTAACATTTTCGTTACGTTTCGTTAATGGTGCCTCATTAATGAAAAGTTTGTTTTCTTTAATTTGGTTTTCAAAAAACAAATTATATTGGTCATTCTATTAATAGTCAAAATACGTAATTGAATTGTTATTTTTATAAACTATTTTTGGAAAAAATTCTAAAAATAATCATATATATGTATAGTAAACGAAATTTAATTAAAAATAATAAATTTTATTTGTTTATTGTCATTTTTTTGTTTAGTTCACAAAATTTATACAGAATAAAAGTATCTACATTATAAATAAACTTTTGAATGTTTTCTTAAATGTTATTTTCCCCAATTTTGTTCTAAAATCAAATTTTTTTTTTATGTTTTCAGAAATATTTCAAAGTGTTTTTGTATGCAACAACTGTGGTGAAAATGACCAAGGTGAAAATTTAAGTTAAAGTAATTTTGACAATAATTACTATTTAGACTAGATGACAAATTGTTGTCAGACTTGTCATACCTAACTAAAAACAAAAATGAGAATATGGTGTAATTTAGGTAGATGGTCAATTAAAAGGTAAAATCGAAAATTAGCTGATTTTTGTAATTAATATTTTAGTATTAATTGTGAAATCTGTTTTTTTGAATACATAATATTAAAGATCTTTAAAACTTGGAGCTTTTTTGACAACATTATCAATAATCTTTATTAATGAATGTCTTATATATTTTATTATGCCAATATGGTGGAATTCACTTCAATGCCAATCAGGTCTCAACAAAATTTATTATCGTTAATTTATAATTTAAATATAAAAATAAATTTTGCATACTCGTATTTTTAGGAGACTGTACTCGAATTTTTTTTGTCGCTGATCCACAATTATTAGGATTCGAAAATGAGAATAAACTTTATGGTTATTGGAGCCGGCAAGATTCAGATAGGTATAGAAAGAGTTTATTTTCAAATTATTTATTAATTATTAAAATTTTTAATTTATTTAAAATTAGGCATTTAAAAGCAACATTTCAAAGAGCTTTGCAATTTACTAGCCCAGATGTTATAATATTTTTAGGTGATTTATTAGATGAGGGTAGTATAGCATCACCTGAACATTTTCAAATTTATTTAGATCGTTTTAAAAATATTTTTAATACAAAAATGAATATAAATGTATGTATTTAAGAATTATAATTTTTTTTAAATTAAACATTAAATTTATTATACTTTTTATGCAATTTTATAGCGTATATATATACCTGGTGATAATGATATTGGTGGTGAAAATGGTGAAATTATATCAGATATGAATTTAAAACGTTTTTATAATGAATTTATGTTAAATAATTCATTTGATATTAATAATAATAAAATAAGATTTTTTCATATAAATCGAATGTTATTAAATTATACAAATCCAGATCCAATAAATAACAAAAATCGTTTAAGAATTGCTATATCACATATGTCAATATTAAAATCATATTCACAATTAAGAGATGATATTTTAAATTTTATAAATCCACATGTAATATTTTCGGCACATTGGCATAAATCATGTTATTTTTTTTATCCACCATTAAAAGTTGAAGATTTTATTAAAAATGAAATACTTAATTATGATTTAATTAAATTAAAAAATGATAATGAAAGATATTTAGAAATTATGATACCAACAGCATCATATAGAATGGGAGAATATCGTATTGGTTATGGATATGCGATTTTAGGTAAATTTTTATATAATATGTGCATGTAAATTTTAATATGAACAAATACTGTAAAAAATTTTGTTAAAAATGAATATATGAAAAACAATTTACTATTATAAAATTTACGGTATAACAGATTAAATTTAATTAGATTTGGTAGGAATTATTAAATTTGAATTAGCAAATAAATTTGAAATGAAATCAACCAAAATATGTCATATTTATAATGTCATAGCCTGTATAATTTGACATATGAGAATTAAATTTAGTGTGTACAGAGTATTGAAACTCTCATTGAAATTTTAGCAAGTTTATTCTCTTTAATTAAATTTTTTTATCGCACAATCATGCAACTTTTTACTGTCATCGTGTTTTTTTACTATATTGTTAAAATCAATGAAGATTTGTTGTTGTCATACTATTTGATACAAAAATTTTTTACAGTGCACTAATTTTGTTATTTAAGTAAATGATCACAATTATAAATATTTCAGATAACAACACTCTACATTATACTGTTCTATGGAGTTTAAGTCGATTTTATTCTTTATTCGTTTATTTAGCATGGATTTCTTTAATGTTAGCATTAAGTGTTATGTTAGTAATTGTTAAAACAACAAAAATTATAAAATTTAAAAAAGATGCAAACTTTAATTATCAATAATATTTTCAATTTTTGTTTTCTTATTTTGCAAAATTCTCGAATTTATTAATATTTACTTATTTTTTAATTGAATGTTGGTTAATACTTAAAAAAGTAACATTAGTAATTAAGTAATATTATAGTATTTAAGTAATTAGACCGATAATAATGCAGTTAAACCTTACATAACAAAACAACCAAAAAGACTTAAACAAGAATTTATTTACAAACATAAAAAAAAATTAAATAATAAATATTTTATTATCAAAGTTATATTTTAATTATTAATATAGAAATAGATAATTTCAATTGTAAATTTAATTATATATTTTAATACACATTTTTTTCTCAGTATAAACCAATATCAGCACAGATTTTAAAGTTACATCGAACGAAATCGATTAAAAACACAATATTGACATGGAAACTCTATTCGAGGTAACTCTGAAAAGTCTGTGCAAATATTACAGGTGCACAGGGAGAAAAAAAAAGAAGTTAACACAATAAATTGTTGCATTTTTATATTGTATAAGAGTTGGGAGTTATTGTTATATTTTTATTTATTATTATAATAGGAAAGAAATAAATATTTTAAAATTTCCAATTAAAAGAATTTTTATTTAATCTCATAAAATATTTAATTTTTGCACATTCTAGGCTTTTATTTCAGCTCCAGGGTAAATAAAGTAATTTATAAAATCCCCATCCCTCCCTTCACAAATATTTGTTTTGTTTATTAAATTGATTATGTTTACAAAACGCTGTTTTTATTTGTATTTAATTTTTATGTTAATTTATTATCATGAATTACTTAATTCATGATAATTTTTTTTTTTTATCAAATTTTTCTAAATTTCATTTTCATTCAAACAAAAAAAAATCTATTGAAAAATCTTTTAATTTTAAATGAAAATTCTGAGTGTCATTTTTAAAAATAACTTGAAGAGTAAACAAAGGGGTTAAGTAACATTTTGACAGAAATAGAGCTGCTCGGATAGAACATCATTAAAATTCACATATTTTTAACTGTGATTACTCTTATAGCTAGAAACTTAATAGAAGACAAGATTGACAGTTCAAATAGGAGTTAAGGCACAAAAAAATTATTAGTTTTACAATTTGTTAATGAAAAAAAGTGTATAGATACCCTTGCCCCTTTCAATTCATTCCATTTACCGGCTTTAATGTCTTGCAGAAAGTTGTGATAATATAGAGAAATTGGCGAATGAATCAATTCTTATTATTCAAAGGAAATTGGAATGAACTTAAAATTTTTAAAAGCAGTTTTTATTTTTAAAGCCTTAAACACCTTAGAATAACTTTAAATTTTAAAATTAATAAAAATTCTCGGACATTATCATTGTAAATCTTAATTTACAATATTTTTGATATTAACAAGTTGAACTAATTATAGTTTAAGGAAGAAGGTGAGTTATTTTCAATTCCGGACTAGAAATGACTGAACTAACTTCTGTTTATTAAAGAAAAATTAAATATTCCTCATTATTAATTTCGCTAAGTAGACATTTTGGTATTTGTTGACACAAAGAATTTTTCGAATTTTAGCGAATTTACGTCAGGTGAATATAATTGCGTATCTAATGACAATTTTTTTTGGAACAAACCTCTCAAGGTCTATTTTAATTCATATTAAATATAAATAACAATTTACTATATAAATTATGTAAATATATTAAAAATTATATAACATTAAAATAATAACATAGGCGTATAAAATAAGAGAAATAAACCTCAATTACTCTTTTACCAATACTGTGCATTTGTTTGTATTTTATTAGAGACAAACAAAAACCACAGGCTTGTTATTTTATTTTATTTTTATACTTGGTAATTTAAGCCAACTTTTACACTGTCTATAACTCTGAATAACAAGAATACAAGAATATTGTTTTTACTGAAAATAAATCCGTATACATAATTACAACAATAACAATATAAAATATATACATTGTTAACTTTTTGAACTCAATATGAAAATAAAAATGTGTGACAACATAGTGTGACTGCCTGTCTAATATATTATGTGTATAAAGAAAACAAGAACAGAAATTTTAGGAAAAAAAAAATATGAAGAGGAAAAATGATCCTTTTTGTTTTCTTATTTTCTTTTTTTCATTTTTGTGATTTATTTATTGTGAGTATTGTAAGCCTGTGTATATGCGTATATATTTGCGTATATGGGAAAATTTTTAACAAAATGCATAAGGTGTACACATACTTATTTACACAATTATACACCCATCCTATTTACTAAATTTCCACCCCTATTGTTAGTTCAAAAAAAAAAAAAAACACACACAAATTACATGTTGAGAAGAATAATAAGAAAAACTTACAAATAATTTAAATATTAAAATAACTGAAAATATTGTCAAGACCTAAGCTCTCTATTCAGCTATAAAACAATTTTAATAAAAAAATACTACAAACACATACTAAATATATGCGTAAATTGTACATATACAAAAGTAGTTGTACACAAATTACTTCAGAATTTTTATAAAAAAAAAAATGATAGAATTATGGTAAAATTTTGTTACCCCTATGCTAAGGTAAAATTAAATTATTTTTTTTTAGTTCACAATCAAGTATGAGGTTTGATTTCATAGGATGCTAGAGTATAATGCAACAATAGGATACTAGAGTGTAATGTAAATAAATAAAAAAAAATCTTCTTGCCTTATAAATCTGATGTAACCTTTTAAATTTTAAATGAATTTGTAAGTTTCTAGTTAATGAATGTATATACATACTTCTATCATCTCCCAGACCTACTTTGTCGAAACCAAATTCAATTAAAAACTTTTGTTTGTTTAATTCGGAGTATCCGAGCTAAAATGCAAGATACCAAAAAATAATTTAGCAATAATTAATACACTGGATAAGGTCTTAGTAAAAATCATCAATTTCCAATATCTGTTGAAGCTCAAATGCTGATTTTTAACAAGATTAGTCTTAAAAAATGTTGCTTTCAAATATTTTTCATTCCGCGACATTTTTAAGGAATACCTCGTCATATTTCGTAGATTATTTCCGTTGAAAATTTTATTTTTCGAAGTAAGTCTGAATTTTCATTTTATAAAAATTAATAATAAGAACAATAATCGTCTGTTTGATTCTCCTCTCATATTTTACTTAAAGAGAGAAAAAAAATTTTAGTTTTCGTTTTCCTTTTTAATAAAACACAAAAATAATATTTTCAAAAATTATTTATTACCAATGAAATATTTTCTAACACAAATTATTATTATTATAGTTATTATCACCGTGATACTCGTACTACATATTATTTGTTAGTCAAATATTCATTTAAACACACACACAATTATACGAATATGTTAAGTGATTTGATAAAATATGAAGTTCCGTTTCCTGTAATTTTGAATATTATGCTCATATCATAAATGTGTTATACAGGGGTGTACAAACATATGCATATACAATAAAATATATATTTATTTTTTATAGGGTACTTTTGTTAGGGCACAATAATTTTTGACATTTTTTATATTTTCCGATATTATATGTAATATAGCATTGTATTTAACATTTAATTATAGGAAATATTTTGACATCATTTTTCCATTTCATTTGAAATTTATTATAGAAGTCAAATAAGTACATACGTAGATATATACATATATGATACCCCAAATATTTAAATAAGAAGAAGAAAAATTTAAGTTTCTTAAGACTAAATTATTCATAAAAAAGGTTGACAACATTGAACTATTAAAAATGTGAGTTCGTTTGTATTTCAAATATATTGCGTTGTAAGGAGCAAACAAAAAAAAATAATAATTTTTTGTTTTTAACAGAAATCCTTTCGGAATTTTTCTTTTGATCTTTTTTGACGTGTTATATTTTTTAATTGTCATGGAATTTATTAATTAATATTAATAAATAAGCTTTAAGAGATGGTAAAATTCTAATGGTTAATAGTGATTTTATTACTACTGAAAACAAGTCGAAGCTTTGAAATAACAGCAATGTGCCGTTTATAATATAAGGGAATATGTATAATAATACCATATTACAATAATTGTGAATTTAAGCGAGTTCTTGTTTAAATCTTTAACCTTTGCATTTTATATAAAAATTATAGCATCTATTTGGGTTGAAATGTGTTTAATAGCATTCCATATTGAACATGCTCGCGTCCGTTCTTGTAAAATTTAAATAAAGAATTTAATCAATAGAATCGGAAAAGACGAGCAAAATACGAAATATTTAAATATAACCTGATTATAACCTACGTTAATTAAAAATTATTATTAAACTTAAAGGTTTTCTGAATCGAAAAACAAAACAATTTTCATATAGAATCTTCATTTCTTGTGAAAATCCAAAGTAAATACAGAGTACCAATGTACATACAAATTTGCATATACATAGAATGTTTTTATTATATAATACGTGTTATTCACAATATTTACCTATATTACATGTATGTATTAGAAAATCATAGGTTATTTTATATAAAAGTTCAATGTTCGCATATTTAATTCTAATAAAATGCAAATATGTACCTATGTATGTTCGTACATACATATATAGAATACATAAAACGACAAACAAAAAGAAGTAAACATTAATTTAAAGCCTTCCTCTTTTTTTCTAAATCTAAAATATCTATGATTGCACTTGTATATGTATATCAGTCAGTATAATGTCCACTATATACATATATATGTATAGCTAAATAAAATACATATATATATACATACACATAAAAAATATGTAAATTGATAATAGAATTTAATCATTTTTTTCTTTTTTATTTTATTCACTATTTTCAATTTTAACTTTGATTGTTTTTAACATGTTCATTCACATTAACTAAGTATGGAGCTAAATATGGGTATCTATAGCGCGAAAACAAAAAAAAAATAAAAATTGACCGCGCAAAACATTGAACATTACCGTTTCTGTGTGTTTTTTTCTTCTACCGGCGGTGCAATTGCATATATGTATGTAAGAATTTCAATGCTGCACATTTCTAAATGTAAATTGAGTTTACATAGGTATTTATGAATGTATGAAGTTTATATTATATGATGTTTATATTATAGTAGAAAACGAATATCAATTTATAAAAAATTTCTCTCAAAAACTTGACATGCTTACTTTTTATGCTTCAAAAACTCTTCAAATTAGTTTCAATACTTTTTTTATAAATTAAATTCTTATACTTAACTAAATAATAATAATGTATAAGAATAATTTTCTTACCATTTAAAATTTTATAATATTTCAATAAATTTCATATTGGTTGGTTCAAATTGGATGGGTAATTGAAATTTGTTTACTTTTTAAATTAATTTTTAAAAATTTATGAGTAATGAAATATGTAAGTAGTTCAAATAGTGAATAAGATTAAGATTAATTAATAATCTATTAATTATTTAATTTAAAAGTCATTCCATTAAATTGCCGATTATTTAATTAACAATCCTAAAATTTATAAGCATTAAGCCTACATGTATGTACATAATGTGATAGACAGCATTCAGGAAATTGCCGGATTGCAATTTTTCAATATGAAGATCCGAAAATCTTGAAATATACTAATTTTTT